TCGGCTCAGGTCATGATCCTGGAGTCCCAGGATCGAGTCCCACATCGGGCTCCCCACTCAGTGGGGAGTCTGCTTCTCCCTCTGACCCTCTCCCCTCTCATGCTCTCTCTCACTCTCTCTCTCTCAAATAAATAAATAAAATCTTAAAAAAAAATAAATAACAATAAGTAAGTCAAATAAAGGGATGGCATCCTTAAGAGAGTTTTCAGAAGGATCTTAAGTTTAAATTGACTAGAATACTCTGCTGTGGTTGATTTAATTAGCAAAGATGGGAACTAGAATTTGAGTGCCTACAATTATGTACACTCTCAATATCCCAGAGGTGGCTTTTATTATTGCTCTCTTTTTATGGACATTTTGTGGAGACTCAGAGAGGCATGCAGACCAGCTCAGTTCACACAAATAGCAAGTGTCCGAGCCAGGATTTAAAAGCCAGGTCTGATTTAAAAGCCAGGTCCGACTTGCCAAAACCCTACAGGGCATCCCATCCTGAGTGAATGTGGATGGGAGCTGGGAAGTCAAAACAAAGGAAGAGTTGAAGGAGTCTCAGTAGGCAAACAAACAGAAATTTAAGCAGAACTAGAAGGGATTTTTCTCTCTTTCTTTTTCTTTTAAGTAAACTCTACCCCCAGCATGGGGCTCGAACTCACAATCCCAAGATCAGGAGTAACATGCTCTACCAACTGAGCCAGCCAGGGGCCCCTGAAAGGTTCTTCTTACTTTTTATATAAGACAATGCTGTCAGCAACCTCTCACTTTTTCTGCCACATCCAAACCAGACACAAAAGTATTTGAAAATGCGAAACTGCTCATGAGATGTACAATCCCAACAAGTATTTATTGAGCTGGAGTAACTACGGGTGCTGTTTTATAGTCCCACTGAGAGAAGAGCTGGACTATTGTACAAACTCTATGAAAACAGAATTTTCAAATGCCACACTAGACTTACAGGTCTGACATTTTTTTTCAAAAGCATCTAAGACGCACTGCTTAGAAGTAAGGATTTGGACTCTAGTGTCAGAAGACCGAGATTCAAATCCCAGCTCTCCTACTACTTGCCATGTGACCTTGAGCAGTTTTCTTATCTCGCTGAGCCTCAGTTTTCTGATCTTTAAAATGGAAATAATAATAGTACTTAGTTCAGGGGCGCCTGGGTGGCTCAGTCGGTTAAGCATCTGCCTTTGACTCAGGTCATGATCTCAGGGTCTGGGATGGAGCCCCACATGGGGCTCCCCACTCAGCTTCTCCCTCTTCCTTTGCCCCTCCCCCTCCCCACTCTTGCGCACTCTCTCTTCTAAATAAATAAATTTTAAAAATAGTACTTTGTGGGGCGCCTGGGTGGCTCAGTTGGTTAAGCTACTGCCTTCGGCTCAGGTCATGATCCTGGAGTCCCAGGATCGAGTCCCGCATCGGGCTCCCTGCTCGGCAGGGAGTCTGCTTCTCCTTCTGATCCTCCCCCTTTCATGCTCTCTGTCTCCCATTCTCTCTCTCAGATAAATAAATAAAAAAAAAAATAGTTCTTTGTTCAGGGGTGCCTGGGTGGCTCAGTCGGTTAAGCGTCTGCCTTCGGCTCAGGTCATGATCCCAGGGTCCTGGGATCGAGCCCCGCATCTGACTCCCTGCTCTGCGGGAAGCCTTCTCCCTCTCCCACTCCCCCTGCTTGTGTTCCCTCTCTCGCTGTGTCTCTCTCTGTCAAATAAATAAATAAAATCTTATAAAAAAAAACAGTACTTAGTTCAAAAGGCAAGTATGCTGATTAGATCAGATAATGCTGGGTTCAGAACTTACTCAATAGAGGTGAGAGAATATTACTTTTTGTCATTTTACTATTCCTCTTGAAAAAATAAATGCCTATAATCTCTCATGTACCAACACAGAGCTGGAGCAAAGGGAGAGCTGGCTGGCAGCCTGGATTATGCAGGAGGGTGTTAATCCACACTGTTGGTTCTTCCTGTATCTTCCTTCTCCCTTCCTCCTATTCAAGAAGGGAGCTGATTCTAGGAATACTGACTGGAGTCTGGAAGCCTGTGGAAGGTGGTGCAGCCAGCCACGGGGACAACCTCAGAAAGATTCCTGGGGCCCAATAATGTCGAGAAGAGAGCAGAGGACCCTGGAGCCACGGGGGCCAGGTGGACAGGCCCACCCTCGGCCCACCATGTGACTGATGACCCAGAGCCAGAGTCATCCCTGTCCCTCACCCTGGCCTTCCTTAAACCCTCAGCACGGTGTGATACTCAGTATGTGTGGCTGAGGAGTGGGGAGTAAATGCCCAGGGAAGACTTCAGTTAGAGGTTTGACACCAGCTAAGAAAGGGGGAGGCCTGCACTGAGGGGAGTTCTAGGAAAGAAAGCCTTACTCCTTGTCCACCTGACCTGGAGACTGAGAGTCATACGAGCTACGGCAAGAAGAATTCAGAGTTGCATGTTCCTAGGACTTTGGGGTGGATACAAGGTCCACAGATTCTAGCAAGGAATAGAAAAGAAGGCAAACCTGTAATCGAGCCTATGAACCCATCATCTGTTGGCCAGCATGGTGGCGGCAGCTGTCCAGAGGCCTCTGGTCTGGGTTTGAGCACAAACAAGGAAGCAAATGAGGTAGGAGAGGAACATATAAACACACCTGGCCGAAAACTGCCACCATTCACAGTCTTTCCCACCCGGTTCTTACCAAGTCCCGAGATTGGGGTTTGCAGCTAGGGTTTAGCAATTAAAGCTGAGATGTTGCAACACCTTTCCAGTTTGAAGTGGTGAAGGCATAAGGCCTATGAATTTGTGGATTTGATACCACAGCCTTCTGTGCAAACAGGTGACTCATTCTGCCCCCTCCAAGGCGGGGGGTGTGGAGGGGAGCCAGCTCTGGTTTCACTATTATCCCCCCAAGCCCCACTATGAATGTCAGTTCTTTCCCAGAAGCAAATTGAACCACCAAATCTCTTTAAATCAGTGCTGACAGCCTAACCCCGAGTTTATGAAGCTGCAGGCCACAGAGGAGGCCCTCGGCTCCAGGGCTGCACCATGTGGGGTGAGTGTCTCTGACTTGAATGAACCAGAGCCTAGATTTCACTATTTTCATCACCTTAACATTTACATTCGGAGAGCCTGGGGAAACAGATCTTTGAGACAGAACATTAACCTTTGCTATAGCAAAGTCTTGGCTGTCTTTAAGCCTCCAACAAAAAAATGCTACTCCTTATATCCATTCTAGCCTCGAGTCTCCTGGAAAGGTCAAAACACGGGAGGAGCCCTGACAGCAGTGAAATCTCAGGAAATCTTAGAGCTTACAGGGACTGTAGTGACCATCTAAAGTCCACTCTAGCACTTTATGCATGAATAAACTCAAGCTGAGGAGGTGGGGGCAGTTACAGAACTTTTTGCAAAGTCACATTACTGGATAGTCAATGAACTGTGACTGGAAATCATGTTACCTGACCATTCACTATAATGAACATCTGTTGGTTACTACACTTGACCCTTGAGCAAAGCATGGGTTAGGGGCACTGCCCCTGTGCAGTTGAAAATCTGAGTATAACTTTTGACTCCCCCCAAAATTTAACTCCTAATAGCCTACTGTTGACAGAAGCCTTACTGGTAACATAAAGTCAATCAACACATTATGTTATATAAATATATATATATAACATATGTACACTGCATTCTTACAATAAAGTACAGAAAATGTTAAGAAAATCATAAGAGAAGATAGATTTATAGTATTGTGCTGTATTTATAGGAAAAAAAGTCTACTTATAAGTGAAATTGAACCTACACACGCAGTTCATGCCCCATGTTGTTCAAGGGTCAACTGTATATGGAGACCTCTGTAGTTGTGTGTCTCACAGGGGGAACAGGCTTCAACTTCTCCTATGGAAGTCAGAGAGGTCCCAAATCCCTCTCCCACTTCCTGGAAGCAGGGAGATAACCTAAGCTCAGCCACCAGGACACTCTCACCTAGCCCTATGATAATGTCCAACCTGCCTATGGCCACCATATTGCTCTGCCCTAGGAACAGACTACTCTGAGCAGAGCCATATGTCCTAATGATAAATTTACCTGGTGATCAGTTCACTCATTGACCAGTTTGCATTATGAACAGTTTATCTAAAATTCAAGCCTCTTTTGAGTATTTTTGCATTCATCTGGCTGCCGTGTTTTTGTTTTTGTTTCTGCCACGTTTCGGGCCTTTTTATGGATTTAAAAATTTAATTTCCTCTAAGGGTTTTTTTTCCTCTGCTAAATTTTGTATCTGTGTGTGGGTGTGTGTCTGTGTGAGCCTGCACCCAATGTGGGGCTTGAGCTCATGACCCCAAGATCAAGAGTCGCATACTCTACCGACTGAGCCAGCCAGGTGCCCTGTAAATCTTGTATTTCTGATTAAGTGTTTATGAAATGTGTCACCTTTTATAAACAATAAAATTGTTTACTGTTGTGGGAGTCTTTTAGTAGTATTTGAACCTTCCAACACACTGTAAGGGACTTTTTTTACAAGTTTGTATAGACTCTTTCTTCAAAGTTGTGTGCTCACAGCAAGAGACCCTTACTGAATCTGATATTCAAGGTATTAAATTCAGAATAATCCTAAGTTTTAAGCACAAAATGGAGTGCCCTTGGTCAGCACTTGATTTTACTTTAGCAATGAGATGAGAACAGCACAGCTCCTAACAATTAATGATAACTAATGTCTGGCTACAATGAATAAGAAAATACTAGAGCAAATGTATAATACTGGGTTCATATTCCATTCAAGTCCATAAACAAGTATTGAGTTTGACTATAATAATAAAACAATTAACATTTCTCAAAGGCCAAATACACGCCAAAGGCCAGGTTGAACACTGTACTATTTTTTTTTTTTTTTTTTACTGTCCACAGTATTTATTACTTGTTTTTTTTATCAAGAGAAACTATTCCATAACCCAGTATTCATGTTTCATAGCTCAGGAACACAGGTCAGTGACAAACTTCCATGGAACCCAACCCAAAGAAATTCTTTACATTCCAAAATCACTTTGTACTCTGAAAGATACCGACCTTCATCTCTTCAAAATCTTTCATGGAATCATAATTTCTGTAGAAATCTGCATATGCCTTCTTTCTTGGTTCAGCCACAGCAAACTTATAGAAAGCTGCAACCCCCAGGGATACAGCGAATGCTCCAACAAAATGAAATCGCAGACGCTTGGCCAGAAAGCCTTGCATCGGAGGTTTTGTCAAAACACTGAAGTTATAGTGGTCATTCTCCTCAACACCAGCCTCAAACCCAACGTCCTTCCTAACTGATACTTGAACACTGTACTTAACGTTTTCTCTTTGAATCGTGCTCTCTCAGGGCAGGGCTTCCTCTTTGTTCACCGCTATATCCCCAGCCAGCCTAGAGCAGACACCCAATGGCCCTATTGGCTGGTCCTGCTTATTATTTATCATCTCAAATGTAAAGGTGAGTAAATTCAGGCTCAAGAGTTGTCATTTGTCCAAGGACGTCAGGAAGGGCAGCATGACCCGGAAGCCTGGACTCCTTACACAAAGGAACGTGACCTCACCTGTGTACTCTCACAACGAAAGCCTGAAGGGTAGGGTGAATGTGGATAGACCACTCAAAAGTTTTAATGCTGTTTAGTGCTGGGGAGCTGGGGACAGGGTATATGGGTACAGAGGTCCCTGGGAGGGTATGGTTCTGACATGACTCTCTAAAGTCTCTACAGGAATGTTACTGGGGGTAAGAACATTCCAGAATAAGCCCAAGGTTCCTGGGGAGACTTGGGACAGAACTCAAGCTGGGGTCAGAGGTCAGGGGTATACCCATGTGGCCTGTGCAAAGTGTTATAGCTTTCCAAAAAAAGGTTAGCTTGATGGCAAAGGAAGAGTCATTCTGAAAACCTGACACAATAAACATGGGACTTTATGGGCCAGCAAAGAGATTAGTTTTCACCTCTCTTCTTTTCTTCACCTAATAGATACTAAATTTATTTTCTCTAGAAATTGAAAGTGTCTCAGATTCTCCTGTGCCTTTGGCCTAGTGCCATGGGCTAACAGTAGTCAATAACATTTTGTGTAACAAGAAAACTGTAGTTGGGAATGTAAAATGGTACAGCACTGTGGAAAATGATTTGGCAGTTTCTAGAAAACTAAGCATACACTTATCCTACAACCCAGCAGTTGCAGTCCTGGGCATTTATCCCAGAGGAATGAAAACTTATGTTCACACAAAAACCTGTACATGATGGTACATAGTGGCTTTATTTGTAATAACCCCAAACTGGAAACAGCCAAAATGTCCTACAATAGGTGAGTGATTAAACCAACTGTGGTACACCCATACTGCATGGAATAATATTTAACCATAAAAAGAACAAACTACTGATACAGGGAACAACTTGGATGGATCTCAAGGACATTGTGCTAAGTGGGGGAAAAAAAAAAAAAAACTCTCCGATCTCCTGCTGTATGATTCCATTTATATAAAATTCTCAAAATGAGAAAAGGAGCCCTGATTAGTAGTTACCAGGGGTAGGGAAGGATGGGTGTGACTGTAATAGGGTAGCACTAGTGAGCTCTTTGTAGTGACACAACAGTTCCTGTGGTTACTCCAATATACAGAGGTGATAAAATAGCGTACAAACACATCATACCAATGCCAGTGTCCTGGTTTTACTATAGTTCCCGGAGCCATAACCACTGACGAAACTAGATGAAGGGTTCAAGGACCTCTCTGTACTATCTTTGCAACTTCCTGTGAATACATAATTATTTCAAAATAGAAAGTTTTAAAAAAAGAAAAGAAAATTGTAGTTGAAAGCATCGCCTGATTTCCCAAATTTCCCTTCTACACCATTCTGAAGAAATTCTAGTCAAGTGGAAGGATGCTCATGCCTCTCATATAGAGAAGTCTTCTTTATTCCTTTTACAGCTTCATAATATTCCGTTTCATGTCTGTATCATATATATTTTTTCATCTAAACCCTGAATGTTTATTTCCATCTTTTGCTATTGTAAAGTCATTATATTATTATAAATAGCTACCACGAACACCTCATGCATAAATTTCACCCATTTCTTCTATGACTATGTTTGCAGTACAAATTCTTTGAAGTGGCAAAACTTGTTTTCTTAACAACTATGCTGTATTGCTATATTTATTCTATATTTTAAGCAACATATAAACTTCTTTCAAGGAGCCTCATTTCTGAAAATAGATATTTATGCACACATTCTTAATGGCAAAAGTTTTTAGTCTACTTCAAGTTATACATATTCAACATTAATAAAACATTTCTATTTAACTTAAACTAGTCATTTATCTATTGGAGTTTATTTAAATTTTTTTTAATTTTTAAAAAAATATTCATTTATTAGGGAGAGAGAGAGCACAAGTGGGAGGAAGGGCAGAGGGAGAAGGCAAATCAGGCTCTCCACTGAGCAGGGAGCCCCCAGTGCCTGGAAGGGCCAGATCCCAGGACCCTGGGATCACAACCTGAGCCGAAGGCAGCCACTTAACTGACTGAGCCACCCAGGTGCCCCTCAAATACATTTTTAAAAAAGATTTTATTTATTTA